TGTTATACAATCATCACAAAATATGATTTTTTCAGCACAAATAAACAAGTAAGAGTGAGCTACCACGCAAAATTCTAAAAGGAGGCATAACACTATTATTATGCATAATTCATTCACCATAAATTCATGTAAGATGCAACTATTGTACTAGACTCTATTTTTCGGATATAACGTTGATGGAAGTCTCGGATGGTCATGCACTTGTGGTGACCTTTACTCCTCTCAACATAATCTTGACCAAATACAATCTATCATATCACCGACAAGGTTAGTCTGTTAACATCTATGAGCATAATTGAACATAGACTAGGACCTCCTACCACTCTCACCACATAACACATCCTTCCCTATTTGAGACTATATCATTATTAGAGTATTAAGATAACCACCAACAATAGGACCCTCAACATCAACTCATACACTAATACCATGCCATTATAGAGTCTCTCCCCGAGACTCATACTATATTCAAATGCATAATTTCATATCCAACATCATAAAATACATTCATCACAAAAATAATACAAAATGAATATATCACAAAATAAATTAACAATAATAAAATATCACTATAAATGGTCATCGAAGAAGAATCAAATGTTTAACGAATCAAACTCACCATAAACAGCAGTACATATGACTAGTCACAACTTACTAGATCAGACCAAGGCTACTCTATGATCAGGGATGTACCAACTCTAGTTTTTAAGATTCCTCTATCCTACCATAAAAAAATAACCTTAATATAAACGTTATGGGGAACTAAGAAGTTGAATCTGGCATAGCCGGTTATATATCTTCTTATCCTTCTAGAAAGATGCAAGAGAAAAAAAAAGAAACAATAAATGTCCTGGGGAACCAAGAAATTGAATCTGATATAGCCAGTTAGACATCTTATCTTTCCAGAAAAATGCAAGAGAAAAAAGAAAAAAAAATAAACGTTTTAGAGGAACCAAGAAGTTGAATTTGACATAGCCAATTAGACATCTTCTTATCCTTTCAGAAAGATGTAAGATAAGTCTAAATTAACGATAACTTTTCTATTTCAATTCACACTATTTTTATAACATATTTCTAAAACTCTAAATATTATAAAATGTGATTTGATTTTTTATTGTCTCAAAGTTAAAAATATATAATTTAACTTTTAATGCTTTAACGACTCAATTTATTTAACACTAAAATATTCCGAATCTTCTCAAACAACTTAAATACTTTTCTTTGTTGATTTTGTTAAGATACGAGAGTGTTAATATTTTCTTCACTCACACTTTTACATTCTTATGAAATTCTCTTAAATAAAACCGAAACATATCAAAACGCGGTGACATTTTCGTAGTTATTGCGAACTTATATGTCTCGGTTAAGGGGGAACTAAAGCATAAGAGGGTTATTGTCTCGGTTATAGAAGGAACCGAGACATATAACCCTGCAAAAATCTCCTCTCTCTTCTGCAAGTCAGACTTTTCATCTGACAAACTTTTCGAAAATGGGCTATTACCTTGGTTATGTAAAGGAACCAAAGCGTATAACCCTCTGCAACTCAAACTTTTCATACGAACAATTTTCTTCTTCACGTGAACTCTCCTTCCTCTCCACGAACACCACTAGACAGATCTTCCCCTCCACGAACACCCCTAGACAGCGCCTTCCAACTCCAACAACCGTCGGGGAGGTTCCATGGCGTGGTGAACATTGGTGCCATGGTGATGGACGGGTCCGACTTCCACATGTTGGAGGATTCAAGCGACAGGTACCCAAACAATAGGAAAACCCAACCACGTCTCGGGATGCATAGCGATGTTCATCGCAATGGCCAAGACCTCCTCCGTGATTCCAACAGCGCATTGTTCTGACTGCAATCTCCTTTCGAATCAAATCCCGATGAAGCTGAATTAGAGCGATTGGAAACGGTAGCAATGTTTGAATTGATTGGAGATACACGAAGAGGGATCAGATTGAGTATGAGGAAGAGAAAGAGAATTGGAATGAGAATCCATTGACGGCGGAGTGAGGAAGGATGCCAGCCCCCAAAATGGCGAGTCAGGGTTGCTTTGATTTCGTCGAAGGGGGTTTCTCAATGACGTGGTAGGTGGATCGAGTATGGTGTCGTTTTTGTAATCTCCATCGCCATCGAGTCGGCGGAAGATAAATTGAAGGGAGAGGAAGTGTTTTTGAGCGAATATGGCATCGTTTTCTTTGTCGGGGACAGTTCGCTGGCGAAGATGTAGACTCGCAAGTTCGTGATCCTGTGGCGTACCCTTGGCAGTGGATTTGGAAGGACGTTTCTGGGGATGAGGATTTTGGGACTGCTATGGATGATGTTGACAATGAGGTGATGTGTTTGAGGTTTGAGTATGAGGCGAAGGAAGGGGAGGTGAATTACAATGGGAGTGGTCGGGAGAGGGAAGATACGATGGAGAAAGGCTAGCGCAAAAGAAAAAAAAAACACTCTACTATCTCGATTTAGGTCCCAACCGAGGCAGTAGAGTCCATAATACTACATCCGTTCACAATCGAGACAAAAAGAGATAAACTTTTTGCCTAATTTGTATATATCTCAGCTCAAGAACCGCTGCTTATGAACCAAAATAACTGTTGTCGCTTCTTTTAACTACACTGATGTCCCTATTTAATATAAATTAAGATCTAATATTAGTATTTATTAATTTAACTAACAATAATTATAATAAACTCTTCTGTTACCAAATTTTTAAAATCATATATCATTTTACAAAAAATACTATCATTGTATTGCATATACCTTATTATATTAATGAACATTCACTTCAGTACATAAAAAACTATTTGACTAAGGTGATAAGTTCTTGTTACTGAGTCATTTTTATTTATTTATATTAAATTTATAAAGCTGTTCATAAATATATCTATATTCTAAAAAATTATTATTTCTGTTTTCATATTTCAAGCAATTCACTTAATAATATTATTTAATAAAAATAATTAAATAATAAGGCAACTTGTACCGTCACGTGACTGACTAANATTTTTATAACATATTTCTAAAACTCTAAATATTATAAAATGTGATTTGATTTTTTATTGTCTCAAAGTTAAAAATATATAATTTAACTTTTAATGCTTTAACGACTCAATTTATTTAACACTAAAATATTCCGAATCTTCTCAAACAACTTAAATACTTTTCTTTGTTGATTTTGTTAAGATACGAGAGTGTTAATATTTTCTTCACTCACACTTTTACATTCTTATGAAATTCTCTTAAATAAAACCGAAACATATCAAAACGCGGTGACATTTTCGTAGTTATTGCGAACTTATATGTCTCGGTTAAGGGGGAACTAAAGCATAAGAGGGTTATTGTCTCGGTTATAGAAGGAACCGAGACATATAACCCTGCAAAAATCTCCTCTCTCTTCTGCAAGTCAGACTTTTCATCTGACAAACTTTTCGAAAATGGGCTATTACCTTGGTTATGTAAAGGAACCAAAGCGTATAACCCTCTGCAACTCAAACTTTTCATACGAACAATTTTCTTCTTCACGTGAACTCTCCTTCCTCTCCACGAACACCACTAGACAGATCTTCCCCTCCACGAACACCCCTAGACAGCGCCTTCCAACTCCAACAACCGTCGGGGAGGTTCCATGGCGTGGTGAACATTGGTGCCATGGTGATGGACGGGTCCGACTTCCACATGTTGGAGGATTCAAGCGACAGGTACCCAAACAATAGGAAAACCCAACCACGTCTCGGGATGCATAGCGATGTTCATCGCAATGGCCAAGACCTCCTCCGTGATTCCAACAGCGCATTGTTCTGACTGCAATCTCCTTTCGAATCAAATCCCGATGAAGCTGAATTAGAGCGATTGGAAACGGTAGCAATGTTTGAATTGATTGGAGATACACGAAGAGGGATCAGATTGAGTATGAGGAAGAGAAAGAGAATTGGAATGAGAATCCATTGACGGCGGAGTGAGGAAGGATGCCAGCCCCCAAAATGGCGAGTCAGGGTTGCTTTGATTTCGTCGAAGGGGGTTTCTCAATGACGTGGTAGGTGGATCGAGTATGGTGTCGTTTTTGTAATCTCCATCGCCATCGAGTCGGCGGAAGATAAATTGAAGGGAGAGGAAGTGTTTTTGAGCGAATATGGCATCGTTTTCTTTGTCGGGGACAGTTCGCTGGCGAAGATGTAGACTCGCAAGTTCGTGATCCTGTGGCGTACCCTTGGCAGTGGATTTGGAAGGACGTTTCTGGGGATGAGGATTTTGGGACTGCTATGGATGATGTTGACAATGAGGTGATGTGTTTGAGGTTTGAGTATGAGGCGAAGGAAGGGGAGGTGAATTACAATGGGAGTGGTCGGGAGAGGGAAGATACGATGGAGAAAGGCTAGCGCAAAAGAAAAAAAAAACACTCTACTATCTCGATTTAGGTCCCAACCGAGGCAGTAGAGTCCATAATACTACATCCGTTCACAATCGAGACAAAAAGAGATAAACTTTTTGCCTAATTTGTATATATCTCAGCTCAAGAACCGCTGCTTATGAACCAAAATAACTGTTGTCGCTTCTTTTAACTACACTGATGTCCCTATTTAATATAAATTAAGATCTAATATTAGTATTTATTAATTTAACTAACAATAATTATAATAAACTCTTCTGTTACCAAATTTTTAAAATCATATATCATTTTACAAAAAATACTATCATTGTATTGCATATACCTTATTATATTAATGAACATTCACTTCAGTACATAAAAAACTATTTGACTAAGGTGATAAGTTCTTGTTACTGAGTCATTTTTATTTATTTATATTAAATTTATAAAGCTGTTCATAAATATATCTATATTCTAAAAAATTATTATTTCTGTTTTCATATTTCAAGCAATTCACTTAATAATATTATTTAATAAAAATAATTAAATAATAAGGCAACTTGTACCGTCACGTGACTGACTAAGTGCTATATAAATGTAATCTAAAACGCTCAAAACTCACAACATCAGCGTCTATCGAGATTCTTGTCTTTCGGGATTCTTTCTTTCACATCATCGTAGTTTTGTTGCTCCGGTGGCCACTGTCCGAGGTTAGTAAGTTCTTCACTAATAGCTTTTTATATTTTATGTTAAATTATTGGGAAAAAAAATTTTAAACGAGTGTATTTCAATTTTTTTTTAAATAATATCAATTTGTTTCAGTTTTAATTTTTTTTTCTTAATAACTAATTATTCTTATTTATTTTAAGATAATTAAAGAAACGGTATAAACTATTTTGTTCAGTTTATAAACATAAAAAAAAACATTACACCCATGTCTGTTAAAAAACATGCTTTAAAGTATATGATATCTGCTCTATGTACTTGTCCTGTATATTGTGGACAACTATTTTATATATAATAGCATCTTAAAGTTTGTGCTTTCTTTTAATATTGAACATTATGTTTATTTTTAACAACTTTTTAGGTGTACAGGTAACTTCTTTAAGAAAATGTTTATTTTATACAAATCATAAAAGAAAGAAAGTAAAATAGCTAATTTATCTCAGAAATTCAGCACTAAATTATCAGACATTCTAGATGTTTATATAACAAGAAAATTTTGTTAAAGCGATAAACATATTTTATTTAAAAATAATATTTCATATTAGTCCATCTTCTAAACCATGCCATTTTGCAGACAAGTAAGAAGAGAAACATCATTGTGGAGGAGATAGTAACATTAATGGCATTATCCAGATAGTATTCCTCAAAATTGTTTTCTTGCATAGACTCTTATACTACTACTCATCTTGTTCTTTATTGTGAACGAAAAAATTGCTTTGTGTAATTAGCATATTAATTTACATGCATATGTTTTGGTTAATTTGAAAATATATATCTTTATTTTGTGTTTAGTTGTGGTTGGAACCCATTCTGAGTTATGTCTATAAATATTGGTGAGATTTGATATCCATTTTAATCAGTTTAACAAATTTTTTTTCATATTGATTTCTGCATTTTGTTGTTGTTATCCAAATTATGATTTAGGATCATATATATTGTTACATGCATTTGGTTAAATATCATTGTTGATTTGAATGTAAATTTTTACAATCAATTGGGTCCAAGCATGTAACTAATGAATTGTAGTTGTAGTTTTGAAACCATATTATGAAAGGATAAAATCTTAATCTAAAAAGGTTAAAAGACAATTCTTTCTATGATATGATTTACAAAATTGAAATTACAAACCATTAGTAACATGTTTCGCCCCAATTGGTTATAAAAATATTACATAAATAGAGTTAATTCATCATGATATTTATTTAAAACATGTGACTGTATACATAGTTAACAACATAGTGCATTATTGGATATAAAAAAAATGTGATGTATAGATTAAAATGAACGTTGAATCTCACCAATGCATATAACCATAAATTAGAATAGGTTCCAAGAACAATAAGACTTGAAATTATGATATAATGTGATTCAGTTTAACCAATATATTTAGTACACTAATAATCCAATAATTAATTCAATTCATACCTAACAATGTGAGCCCTCATATATAAGTTAATGTTAGAATGTAAATTTTCACACTAATTTTACTTAAACATCATTTAAGAGAATTTTAACCTCTGAACACTGTTCTCTGTCTTCTTCTGATCTGTCAAAACAAAATTGGCATGCAAAAGACCAATGCATGGCTGTCTGAGATGCATTCTCTGCCTTTTTCAGGAAATAATTAAAAAGAAAATTTGTCATTTTCTGGTTTCAAAGAATTATTGTTTCGAAAACTATTCCAGTTACAGCTGTAATGCACCAAAGGAAATCCTCAAGCAACCACAGAGAAAAAAGAGAATATCATTCTACAATTACATTTATCACTTTATATTGTTTGTCTGTTATTTGAAAACTTTAAAATAAGAAATAAAATGAATAAATTTTGCTTAAAAATAACAGAGGAAAAACTAGAAACTATTTATTTTGTGATTATTATTGACAGGTTCTTCTTGGGACTTATGGTATCTCCGAACTTATACACAGGTTAATTTTACTGCATATTATCTTTAACAGCTGTCATATTTAATATTATTACTTAATGAATTAATGGCTGAACAGATAAAGACAGACGTGCAAGGTTGAAACGAATGAAGAAATGACAGAAACTGATTCATGCTGCTTGAATACACATGGAAATATAATATTTGAGTCTGATCTGAGTGTATGTACAAATGGCAGCCATGCAAAAGGGTGAGATTCAAATTCATCAAGGCTTCTGTTATGCAACACAATAAATGCTGCTGAGATGTATTAGAGTGAAGAGCCTCAATCACAGATATTATGTTAAGCTTCCAATCCTGAGCTTAGTTATTTTAAATGAGAATTACAATCATACAATCTCATTCGGACATGGTTGAGGTTACAGTTTTTATTTTTACTATTAGCAGTAACTTGTAATAACATTTTACAGCTGTAAATAATTTGAATTTCATGGAATATTATTTCTTGTTTTGCTTTTTAACTGGATTAATGCAATTATGCCTCGGTGGATGGAATCCCAAATGCCAAGAAGGCAGAAAATTTAGTCTGACAGCCTCCAAAACGCAGACCTTGGAATGCAAAATTGCCATTGAATTTTCTGACAGCAAAAGTCACACTACTACAAAAGTCGCATACAAGATTGTGATGAGAAGCTTTCTCTCTTAAACAACTTGGTGCCTGGATGCACTATAAATACATGGAACTTTTACGTAACACAATCAAAACACTTAGAATTTTTCATCGTTATTCATAGTTTCTCTCAAGAAAACACATCTTGCATATACACATTTTGTTCTTTGTATCTTTTTCGTTAGAGAATGTGTTTTCAAATCATAATAGCTCTTGTGCACTACAACGGTCGCGTCATCAATGACGAGCTTCTGTCATCACGATTTGTGAGCGAAGTTTCACGATATCTTGAAGTGAATAACTTCATGTCAGTAAAGGCTCTCAAACAAACAATTCTTAATTTGTTCATTGCTTCCAATGGAAAATCATACACCGTTGATTTGTGTTACCGTTGTCCCGTGAAAGCAAATGATTAGTTAAAGATTTCTTATCGTACTGTGATGATTGAGGATGACGACGATGTAAGATTCGTGATTGGTTATGCCAAAAAATACGAACCTCACGTACAGCTTGAGGTCATGGCATTCATCCGAGAATACATCGAAACATCTGCTGATGTCATTTGGGAGCACTTGGAAAAACAGCTAGATGATTCATTAAATACCGAGTAAGTCTATGATTTTTTTTTTTAAATTTCTAATGTATGTTTGTTCTTCAATTTCAAGATATGTTTGCTATATCCTAATTAATAATATTTTTGTTTTACTAATTAAACCAACCATCAACCACATATAATTAAAATGTCTATTGTTCTGCAACCAAACTTGTGTAATATTCTTCATTAACATTTTTTAGGTGGACACAAAAAACATCGTAATGAAAATGCAGCATACAATTCCATCGTAATGTATCTTTCAACTAATGTTTTGTTTTGCATACACATTCACATCATTTTAATTTAATGATAAGGTTCGCTGATAAAAAAAAATGGAATCATAAATTAAGGTTGAAATGAATTTAATAATGCAATTATCTGATAGTTGATAGATAAATTTCTGTATATTAAATCGTTTCAGTTTTATTTCTTGACAGCAAAACACAGTCAGATAGGGGTTCTTCTATATGAGACGAAACCAGTACATCAGTGCATACCAGTTTTACCTGCTAGAAATAGCTGATGAACTCAGTTGAAATCGAAAATGTACAACATTTGCAACTGCTTGGAATTAAAAAAATAAACAAATTTATAGCAAGTCACTAGGCCTTTTTTTTTTTGTTTTTCTTTAAAAATTAAATACATAAATATTTTATTATTCAAAATATTTGAATATTGTATATTGATTGTGACGGTAACAGATCAAGATAAATGTCCTCCTCGTTCATCCTATAACAAACATGCAAGGTTCAAAAGTTATACAATAATGACAGAAATCGATTCTTCCTTCTTGAATACAAATGGCAACTACCAAATTCATTAGTGTTCGTTAACACTTTCAATTTGAAAGTTTAGAAAACACTGATAAATTGTAATACTAAAGTTGCATGGCTGCCATATTTATCCAAGAAATATGAATCCGTTTCTTATTATTGTATAAATCGAACTCTTCATGTTAGTTATAGAATGGGTTAAGAAGACATTTATCTTGAACTGTTCCAGTCACAATCCATGTGTAATATCCAAATATTTTGATTGATAGAACATTTATATTTATCACTTTTAATAATAAAAAAAAACTAGTGACTTGATGCTATAAGTTTATTTATATTCATAATCACAACTAGTAAAATGGTGATGTGGGATGTAGAATCTTGGTTGTACATGATAGGGTTTCGACCCCCAAATTTTGTTATATGTATACATTAATATATGAATATTTAATTTTGTCATGTTATATATATTTAGTATTCTAAATAATTTTAGATTTATGGATAAAGAAAAAAGAGTCACACACACAAACCTTCACCCATGAATAGAAGGCATCACATACGAGGTCGCCGGTTTCATCTTCTCTTCAACCCTAACATCTCACACAAATATAGAACCCAGACATGGATGGATCAAGGGAGAATTGTTCAAAGTAATAGGTTGTTCATTGTAAAATTTAGGATTAATTACTTGCTTCGTCGTTTGGTTAACGAAAAAGACATATATTTGATTCCTTTTTCAAAAATTAGAATTCATTTTTAACAAAAATTAGAATTCAAGAGGAATTTGTTTTATTTTCTGTGTAGTTATGTAGAAACTTTTTGTAATCAAACTTTTTTCAAGAATTAGTAAAATATCTAGTTAAGATTGTTTAGATTAAACTAAATACAAGTTCAAGTAAAATCATTTAATTACCGTATACAAAATTTGTATTGAACTTTGACATTTTATTTAGTTTTACTGACCAATACTATCAAATACCACATCTAGAATGTGTCAATCAAATAAGTTTTTGAAGTACTTTTTTTCCTCACGCAATTATCTCCCCCTGTGATGGTGGTTGTGTCATCGTAATTGTTATGTTAGAATGGTGAGTCAATTATGCTAATAATAAAAACTAAGTTTATGTTTTATTATATAATAAAAGTTTAATTGTTTTATTTGTCCTTAGTTTTATTATCGTATGTCAAATTGGTTTTACCTTTTAAAACAGTTTTAATTGCGTTCATACCTGGTAAAATTTGTTTTAATCAAGTCATTTTCATTAAATAAAAACAAACGAAGTAAAGTGTTTGATGATATAGCAGAAGCCAATGCTAACAGGTTATTTTATGGGAATATAGGTTGTGACGAGTGAGTGAATTAGAGGTTGACGTGGAAAGTAAATAATGACATAATAGAATTGGGGAAAAATTAAACATTATTAAAATTAGGGGTTTTCTACAAGAGAGGAAGTTAGGGGTTTTTTTTGAAGGAGAAGAAATTATGGCATTTGTGATAGAGCGTTGTTGAGTTGGGGATCACACACGTTTGTTCATATATATTACAATAGAGAATCGCACACAATTGGGGATTTCGATGCGTATTTGGCTTGTTGGTGGAGTATTTCGAAAAGCGAAGTTCTTTCTATTGGAAGGTGTGTTTATGGTACGTTTCGTTCTATGTATGGATGCTTTCGTTGTGGTTCCCCATAAAGTTTGATTTATGCTTGGTTTGTTTTTTTATTGTCCCTCATCATGTCTGCTGTTCCTTTGCTTGTGGTGCCTCATTTTCGGTGTGGTCCCCATTATGTTATGTGAAATTATTTATTTATGTTGTGTTTATGGTCCCATATAAAGTTGTTTTAGTTATTTATGGTCTGATTATGGTCCCCAATAATACTAGGGATTATATTTTGTTAATGTAGATAGATTAACATAACATTTAAGCATAAATTAAAATAGTATTTTGTGTACTTTATAATCATAGTGAAAATAATAGTTTTATGTTACTAGGGTAAAGTAAATGTAGTCTGACAAGATTTTTTATATTAATTGAGACGGCTAACTCATATATCGAAGTGGTGTTTCGCCATGGAGACAAATTTCTGAATAATGGGTCATTCAAATAAGAGTATGGACAAACTACTACTTTTAAAATTGACCTAGACAGATGGAGCTACTTTGAACAGATTGTATTTATTTACAATATTGTATTTATTTACAATAATGTCGCCTGTCATTGTTAATGTTGGTTATTCAATTATTGGATATTGAAGGCATAACGTTATATGTTGTTTTTACAACTGTGAGTGTTTTTGATATTAATATTAATATAATAATATTGGTATAATTGATATAATAAGTTAAAAATTCAAATTACTTTTTCTTCATATGACTAGTAAGATAATAAAAAAATTTCGTATCCACCTATATTTATGAGGTAAAATTTGTGATGGGTATTAAATTAATACTTTTAAGTAAAAGCATTCAAAAGCATAATTTTCATATTCAAAAGCATTCACATTCATGTGCTACGAACATTTTATTGTCACCAAAGAGGAATTGAGTAGTTCTCTCGATAGAGGAGTTCAATACAAGCCGAAAGGGAAAGGTGAGAGTAAGGAAAAATGATATAGTATAGAATTTTGTGGACTGCAAAAAGTAGATGCATTATTCCTATAAAGATAATATTGGATAAAAACAAATTCTTACATCGGATTAAATAAGAGATGAACATGAATTTAAATATACATAAAATACCTCGATTGGTGAGAAGCCTAAATGATACTAAAAAGAGATCCACTGTTTTAAAATATCCTGCAAATCTAAAAGTTAAAACAAATATGTAATATAAATGTTGAAAACTATTTGTTTGGATCATTTTCTATATGAGTGCTTTAAATATATGTGAGGTGATTTACTAAATTGTAATTAAACATCTTCAAGTGGTATTATGATATAATGCTTCTGCCAATTTAATCTTACTTATTTATGATTTTAGTCTTCTACGTTAGGTACAACATAATAATACCCAATTATGTAGTGTTTTTTAATTTGTAAAAGGATTAGGACATCCCAAATGTCCTATTATATTTATTTAATACTTTGTTATTGCTATATTTTTTCAATTAATATTCATGAATTATGAGTATCAATATAAAATTACTCGCTTAAAAGAGGAGGTACAAGTATTATGGTTTTCTACCTGTAAATAGTCACTTCTGCTAATAATTATTAATAAATTTTATTTAAGTAGTTTCTTTAAAATTTAAGATCAAAGAGAAAGACATATTATAATCATGGATAAATTTTAAAATTGACTTCATATATCTTTATTCTTTTTATTTAGATCTATGAGATTGAAGATATAAATTTTACATAACTCATTTAAATTTATCTTTTAAAACGACCAACTTTATTTGTATTAATATTTTAGTATAAAATGTTATTTAAATTTTATTTAAAAATATTTTTTTAAACTAAATTTATATTTTAAAGATTTATTTTTAAATAATTTTATTTTAAATTTAAAAATGAA